TATCAGCATAAATATAACAAATATATATTATTTATTTATTTATCAGCATAAATATAACAAATATATATTATTCTCACCTTAATAAAAGCTGCTCTCAATGTTTGAGCTGCTGATAGATTTACTCGTTCTAGCTGAAAAAATTAGAAATACACAGTTATACCAAAATAAATAAGAGGTTAAAGTACATTATCATTACTGATAATATTTCTAAGGATTTTTGTTGAGCTGGGTAAGATTTTTGCAACTCAGGCACACTGGGCTGGTTCTTTCAGACAAGAATACTGCAAGCCTCTTATAAGCAGAAAATAATCATACCCAATAAAATGAATCTGTGAAATAGTCTTAAATCTGAAAAGGTTTTGTTGTCATGTTCTGCCATAACAACTCTTCACAACTTGTGACTCAGGATGTGTGGACTACAATTCCCAACCAGCATGACTATTCCTGAGAATTCTGGACAGATGAAATCCACACATTCAGAATATATAAATAGATACAACATTTAACAGATAAATGTTTGCATAACAGATGATGCTCTATGAAATCTGCCTATATACTACTGATATAGGTGTCAGGGAAAACAAACGTGAATGGAGGAAGAAGATGACAAGCCAAAAATATAGTGTTTAAAAATAATTTTAGAGTGTCGGATCAAGATAATCCTTCAAAATAAATGTGTAACAATGACTCCATTTCTATGAATACAGAAAATATAATTATTTTCTTGATAAATTACCAAAGAAAGACCATCTTGTTTTCATTTGTTGAAAGCCTAAATACATTTATTGTTTTTCATCTAAACAAATAGACTCTGCGATGTTTAATATAAAACATTTATATAAAACCCAGTAGCTGTAAAAAGCACAAATCTTCCACCTTATAAAACATGTCTGCCTAATCTGAAATGTTAATTAAACAATGAAGTCTACATTCCAGTCTCTTGTATAATGCTGGAATGCATCTTGGGAGTTTATAAATGTAGAATATAATACTCAGAATTATGGAATTAAATGCCAACAAACCAAGCAGTCTGTCATGAAGCCAAGAAATATGGACAGAAAGGAAGCAAAACTCATAAGAAGAAAATGAGTACTAATATAACAGTAGTGGGATATGACCGGTACACCGCGGTAAGCCTGCTGGGAGCACCAGTACCATTCTGATACGGTGCTCCAGACAGTCCACCCGCCCGCCCGTCTCCTTACCACTATTTAAGCCGATCGGGGCATTTGCGCATGCGCACGGAGCGTATGGCATCTGCGTACCCACCGTCCGTGACGCTCCAGCTGCTGGGCGGAGCATCGTGGGTGGTGAGTACGCATGCGCACGCTGCGCACATACACATAGTGGGCACCCGGCTCTGTACCGGTTGCAATGGGATCCACTAACCCACCACTGTAATATAAGCAAGGTAGTAGCTGAGTTAAATAAAACTTTGTTTTCCAAGTACCTTAATGCAAAGAAAATAAAATTGAACCTATTACCTCATTAAAGACAGGATACATAACGGCATAAAGAGGCATGGAAACCATAGAAGTGGTCTCTGCTTCATTCCTCATCTCTTCCATTGTCATCCTCATTCAAAGACCCACTCTTGAAGAAAAAGGCTACTGAAGCAACAGATTCCTCATTCAACTTCTGCTATATTTTTCTCCTTATTGTAGCTAGATGTTTATAATATTTTAAATATGTTGCTCTGAAAAAAAGAAGATAGAGAGAAAAGTTCATTACTACATGTACCAATTTTGAAACAACCAGTACCAAAATATTTTTACCAGCAGTGTTGGCATACATTTAATTCTTCAGTAAAAACTATTAAATCTTTTTCATTTAGTTGGCAACTTATAAGTGATTAACATAGTTGTTGCAGTAATTTCTCACTTGTGTTTCTTGAAAAGAGCAACAGAAATCTGAAATGTCTTTAAACTACTAAAGAACACAACTTCTATTTTTAACATTTCCGGCAATAATTGTTCACCAGTGTTAGTAAGCATAGTCATATGTCATAGCAACTTAGGTGGAAAGAGATATGAGAGACTTGAAAGAGCAAGTAATCTACCAGCATAAATGCCAAAGACTAGATATCCATGCTTATACAGTATTGGAAAAATATACTCAAACCGGTGGCTTTAAACCAAAGAGAAATTTGACATTCCATTTCTATCCAGGATATGCCAGCAATTAATGGCTCAATCATAGTAATGATTCATACGTAAAACATATCACACTGTTACCTAGCTCAGTGGCTCAAGAAATAGTTTGACAGTCAGATGGTTTGAGGTCTGGTAGCACTGCAGAATAGAGTGAGTTCCTATCACTTACCTCTAGCTCCTGCCCTGCCCAATCAAGCATTATTGAGAATAGATAAATGTGTACCACGCATTATGGGTAAGGCTAGCTGCACGAGGAGAATGGGAGCTGGCACTGAACCTGCTTGGATGCTAAGTGAAATTGGCAAAAGAAGCCCAGAAGATGTCCTCAACCTGAACGCTGCTAGCTAGTTCCCTCCTGTGGCAACCCATGGATAAGTGTGCAGGCGTGAAACCAAAGAAACTAGCAATTAGACTGTCAAGACTATTCTATAAAGTATAAATCTCCCTGACAAATGTATGCCATACAAAATAAATAAATACTGTTAGCTATTGAAGTAAGAAATGATATACAATGTATATATATAGAAGGAAGGAAGGAAGGAAGGAAGGAAGGAAGGAAGGAATTAAAAGATATTTGATTAAAATGGGTCAATCTGTATCAGAGGTGGGTTCCTACCAATTCGCACCTATTCGGTAGAACCGGTTTGTCAAATCTACCGAACCGGTTAGAAGAGGTTCCACCAGTGAACCCGGAAAGCAGGCCACACCTAAAGAAGATGTTCCAAAAAATTTTGAAACCCACCACTGATCTGTATGTGCAATTATGTATTGGGGCTGTGGCCAGGTTAGTTTGCCCCAGAAAACTGATTTATCTATCTGGTTGGTTTCAAAAGGAAGCTTGGAGTTTTCCCTGGGGATCTGGCAGACAATTTGGTTGAGGTCCTAAATGTTAATACTACTTTTATTGCAATGATATAGTAATGTAATTTTGCATTTTCCTCCTGCCTTTATCTTCATGAGAACTAAGAAGGGTCTTTTCTAAGATGCCTATTCAGATTACAATTCTGGCCCAAACTCATATTTATTTTATCTGACCAGTATTGGTTGCAACTCTTGTTCCTACTCTTCAAGGTAATCCCTTTTTCTCATTACGCTAAA